CCACCTGTCTCAGCCTCCCTAATGTTTGGATAACAAGCATGCATCACCACACTCAATTTGAAGATTTTCACTAAAGTGGTGAAGGCAAATTGCTAACGTGTAAGCAAGACAGCATGAGCAGCAGCAGTAAGCTCGGGGAACTCAGTATTTTTGTTTTAAATGGAAGCAAACAAGTTTAGTAGCAACTGAGAGGGCATGTCAGTGGCATGTAAGTGGAGGTGGTTTTTATTTGGCTGGTTCTTTGTTTTTCGAGACAGAGTTAATTTGTGTAGTCCTGGCTGTCTTGAAACTAGCTCTGTAGACCAGGCTGGCCTTGAACTCATAGAGATCCACCTGTCTCTTAAAGGTGTATGTCACCACCATCCAGCAAGCTGGCTGGTTTTCAATATGGAACAAATTATAGCAGGTTTGTGTACCTATAGCAATATTTTAATTGTTAGAATTTTTGTTTTGTTTTTTAAGACAGGGTTTCTCTGTGTAGTCCTGGATGTCCTAGAACTCATTCTGCAGGCCAGGCTGGCCTCAAACTCTTGAGATCCACCTGTCTTTGCCTCCTGAGTACTGGGATTAATGGTGGGAGTTACTAAAGAGAAGTACTGAGGCAATGTCTTTAAGGCGATAGGAGGAAACCCACTTTAGTCATAGGATGGGAAAACAGACAGCTCCATCACAGCTGCAGGATTACATAGATACAACCAGGTGTGTAGAAACTTGTGAAGTTCCCTTTGGTCTATTTTTTTTTTCAGGCAAACAGCCTTATCAAATAATAGTGATGAGAAAATACAGAAATATGAAGAGGATTATTCTCTTATTTAAAAAATTATTTCTATTTTTATATATGTGGGTGTTTCATCTGCATGTATGTCTGTGTACCATGTGCATGCAGTGCCTGGGCCTGAAGAGGGCGTCAGATCACTGGTTCTGGAGTTTCAGATGATTATGAGCTGCCATGTGGGTGCTGGGAATTTCACCCAGCTCTGTTGGAAAAGCAGTCAGTGTTCTTAATCACTGAGCCATCTCTTCAACCCCCTGTGTTCACTTAGGTTTTTTTCCAATTTAAATGCCTGCCATCTACCCTACCTATTTATCCATTTACTCACTCACTCACTCACTCACTCACTCACTCACTCACTCATTTTGTACTATTATCAAACTCCCAGCCTTAAATATGCTAAGCAAACACTGAGGTACATTCCCCAACCAGAGCCTACTTTAAATTCTGGGCCCAAATTTAGGCATTTTCCTCACCCCAAAACCCTATTCCTGCCCCACAAACCAAAATCTATCTCTTTATGAGCCGTTTGTAATCTCAGTCTCTTCTTTCTTAAAGGTCTCTGTTTACCTAGAAACATGAGTACAATTTACCCTGTTAACTTAAAAAACTTGTCTTAGCTAGGATTTCTATTGCTGTGATTAAACACTATGACCAAAAGCAAGTTCAGGAGGAAAGGGATTATTTATTTATATGGAAGCTAATACTTCCATATCACAGTTCATCATCAAAGGAAGTCAGGACAGGAACTCAAGCAGGGCAGGAACCTAGAGAAAGGAGCTAATACAGAGACTATGGAGGGGTGCTGCTTACTGGACTGCTCCTCATGGCTTGCTCAGTCTGCTTCCTAGTAGAAGGCAGGACCACCAGCCCAGGGGTGGCCCCATACACAATGGTCTGGGCCCTCCCCCATCAACCACCAGTTAAGGAAATGCCCCCAAAGACTTGTCTACACTCAGATCTTATGGGGACATTTTCTCAACTAAGGGTCCCTTCTCTCTGGTGACTCCAGCTTGTGTCAAGCTGATACAAAACTAGCCAGGACAACAGTCTTACAAAATTTGGAACAAAAAAAGAATCTTAGATTTCAGATTTCCCTCCAAAAGAAATTTATCCCTTCAAACAGAATTCACCACACTGCCCAGTGTGACAGGTTAGAGACTTAGGCTTCTCCTTTGATACATGCTACTTCTCTGAGTTCTGTAGCTCCACAAAGATACAGTCATTGGCCACCGTTAACATATGACCAAATTGCAGTGCAAGAGGTGGTTTGAATGAGAATGTTCCCCATAGGCTCATAGATTTGAATGCTTGGTCACAGGGAGCAGGCGCTATTAGGCGGTGTGGCTTTGTTAAAGTAAGTGTGACCTTACTGGAGCAAGTGTGTCACTGGGGTTGGACTTTGGGGTTTCAAATGCTAAAACCAAGCCCAGTGGCTCTCTCTTCCTGCTACCCGAGGATCCGGATGTAGAACTCTCAGCTACCACCTCAGCATCATGTCTACCTGTGTGCCACCATGTTCCTGGCCGAGACAATAATGGATTAAACCTCTGAAACTGGAAGCCTGCCCCAATGAAATGTTTTCTGTTACAAGAGTTGCTGTGGTCATGGTGTCTCTTCATAGCAACAGAACACTGGCTAAGATATCAATCTTGAAACATTTATTTATAGACTGAAATTAAAAGTCTTGAAGTTTTCTAATGGCACTCAAAGGCCTAACTTTACTATCATTCTATTAACTTGAAATTAGACAAGTCAACTTACCTGTTTTCAGAAAACCAAACTTAAACAAAAAACTTGTGTGAGAATCAAAGAAATAAAAATCAATACAACTTCTCCTAGGAAAGCAAATTTGTGTCAATACAAGAAAACTAATTTTAAAAATTCAAGGCAAAAACATAAGTTTGAAGCCAACATAGGCTACATGGCAAGGCTCTGGCCCAAAACACACACACACACACACACACACACACACACACACACACAAAGAAGAGAAACAAAAACAAACAAACAAAAAAACCAAAGAATACATAATAACCATAGATGCAGAAAATGCAACGGGAAAAATCCAGCAATATCAGGATAACAATGCTTAATAAGCTAGTAATAAAAGGGAACTAACATCATCAAGCCTGATAAATCATAAAGACTGAAAAACTCTTTGCTCTTAAAGTGAGAACCATAACAAGGACGCCCACTCTGCCAGTCCTGCACAATGCTGTGCATGTTGTTCTAATCATGTCATTTAGACAGGAAAAGAAACAAATGGCTGAATTGGAAAGAAGCAAGAGTCTATTTTAAGATGACAAGATCCAATATATAAAACATTCTGGGCTGGGACTAGAGAGGTGGCTCGGTGGATAAAAATGCTTGGTGAATTAGCCTGACGATCTGAGTTATATCCTTGATACCACAGTGGAAAGAGGAAACCAACTTCTCAAGTTGTCCTCTCACCTCCACACATACTTGGTAGTACCCACAGTCAGTCTGTCAGTCTGTCAGTCTGTCAGTCTGTCTTTCTCTCATACACACATACCACAAACTAATTATTAATTAGAAATAAAAAAATAAAATCCCGGTCTGAGGAGGTAACGCAGCCGCTAGTGCTTCCTCAGCACTCCCAGAGTCCTGGGTTCAGCCCCAGCTCTTCATAACCTGGGAGCAGTAGAACACAGGAGAGACCCTCAGGAGCTCAAGGTCATTCCTGATTATATACAAGGCCTGAGGCCAGCCCCAGTTACCTACGACCCTGTTTCACAGGAGGGAAAAGAAAGACAGGGCAATTTCATTGACAATAATGAGAACTTAAAAATCATAAGTAATTAGCAACAAATTTAACCTACATATAGTTTTTGTCCTCTGTAAATAGAGTACAGTCCAGCAAAATTAAAGACATACACATATAAGATCTCATCTCATACTTATGGGTTAGATGACAATAGTTCCCAAATTTATCAATAATTTAGTATGCTCCCTATAAGAATTCAGCTGCTCTTCTGTGTTTTTTGTTTTGTTTTTTGGTAAGACACCTTAAAAGTATATGAAAATGCATGGACTCAGAAGAGTAAATTATCTTTAAAAAGATCAAAGACAAAAGACTCATACTTGTCAACTTCAAAACTTATCACAAAGTCACAGTATTCCAGAAATATTGCATGTAAGGAGAAACACACAGGTGAACGGAACAGAGCTGAGACTTCACAAGTGAACTTTGACATTTCTAGTCAATTCTATGTGTCAAATGGTAGTCTTTAATGAGTGGTAGTGGGACAGTATTCCCACTATTCACATGTAAAAAATGAAGTTTTACACATTAGCTCAAATTCGATGGTTAACTCTAAATATAAAATGAACACATTTAAGACTCAGAACATATAACACAAACACTTGTGGCCTTGGATTAGGTCATGGCTTTTCAGACAATAGCAAAAGCACAAACCACAAAAGTATATAAATAATGGGTTTCATCAAATTTAGGTCTATGCTACAAGCTTCAGAAACCATTAAGAAAGTGAAAAGAAGCAGGGCATGGCGGCACATGTCTTTAATCCCAGCATTCGGGAGGCAGAGGCAGGCAGATATCTGTGAGTTCAAGGCCAGTCGGACGCACAGAGTGAGTTCCAGGGCCAGAGCTACATTGAGACTCTGTCTATGAAACTGGCAAAGTATCTGACAAACATCTTCATAAGACAGAGCCAAATGGCCAACAGGCACATGAAGAAAAAGATCAATATCAACTTCTGAGGAAATTCAAGCCACAACGAAAACCACATCACAGCTGCCTGGGAAGGAGACAAGTGTTAGTGAAGAACACTGGGCCCTTCCACGTTTGGGGATGAAAAATAGTACAGCTGCTTTGGAAAACACTTTGTAGTTTCTTGAAAGTCTAAGCACAAAGCTAGCATGTGATTCAGAAATTTTATCCCTAGATATACATCAAAAGAAATGAAAACATAGGGGCTGGAGAGATGGCTCAGCCATTAAGAGTACTGGCTGCTCTTCCTGAGGAACCGGGTTTAATTCCCAGTACCCAAATGGCAACTCACAACTGTCTGTAACTCCAGTTGTAGGGATCTGACACCCTCACACAGATGTATACAGGCAAAACACCAGAGTACATTAATAGATAAATAAATCTTACCAAAAAAAAAAAAAAGGAATGAAAACATGTACCTACAGAATCCTGAGAACAATTGTTTGTAGTAGAACAAACAGAAATGTCTTCCAATTGATGAATGAATAAATATGGTTTTATTACTGCTATTAATACTATTCAACAATGAAAAGTAGTAAAGCATTAATGAATCTACCAACACAGATGAGTCTTGCCATCAGGCTAGCTGAAAAAGTTCAGTCACAAAAGAGCTCACATTGCACATTCCATTTATAAGAGAAGTGATGAATAGGCTAATTTATACACAGATTAGGATAATGGTTATCTAGGATTAGAAAGGAATTTTTGGAGTGGGAAGACTTGAGAGTGACGGCCATTATGGATCTCTTCTGTTTTATTGTTAACGTTTTTAATTAGTAGCAATCACGTAAGAATTGACTGTCATTAAGACAGCTAGTGTGAGGCCAGGAAGCCTTGCATTGTGCTCTGTGTTTCCTAGAGAGCAATACATCAGGATGGCTTCAAGTGACCCCAAGAGACCAAAGGGCTTATGACTCTTATGCCCTCTTCATACAGACAGGCAAGAAGATCACAGAAGAAAAGCTAGATGTCTCAATATTGCAGGATTTCCTAAGTGCTCTGAGAAATGGAGACAATGCCTGGGCAGGGAAATTTAAAACTGATGAAATGGCAAAGTTGGACGCAACATTTACATTTGGGAAATGAAGGACTGTGGGCCAGTTTGCAGGAGGCCTCAAGGAAAAGGCTACTATTGCTGCCCATAGATCACTGTCTGAATTCTTCTTTTGTTCAGAATTCAGACCCAAGATCGAAGCTACAAATCCTGGAATCTCTAATGTAGACGTGGTTAAAACAACAACAGGTGAGTGAGACGCCAAACAGCTTAAGCAGAGAAGAAAAGCAGCCATGCATCAGTAAGGTGGTGAGGCAGAGGGACACATATGTGAAGGACGTTCTAAGAACAAGTCAAAGACAAAGTCTCATGGTAAAAAGGGTCTCACTGATTTTGTTCACAAAAAAGTGAAAAGAACAAGATAAGGAGCAGCAGTAGGAGGAAGGAGGGAAAACAACTATTTTATTTGGCTCAATTTCTTTGAGTCAGTCTCACGTAGACCAGCTGGCTTCAAACTCCTGATCCCTCTGCAGTACTGGGATTATAGGTATGTACCACCATGCTGAGCTAAAAAAAATGTTTATCTGTCTTCTTACAAATATCATAGAGGGGAGAGCCATAATCCAAACATCTTATTTGAGTGTGTTTACTGTCTTCATTGGGTTTAATTTAGAATTTGGTCATCACTGCCCCAGCTTCTCAAACCTTCAGTTTACTTAAAGTTGACACATGTGTCTGGCACTCCTTAAACTGTATCAAATTTGTACATGTTTCCAAACATTTTAAAATGAAAAGGTACTTTGTGTTCTCCTTACTCTGCAATTTGCTTTTGGTATGACAGAGCATTTTGAATTTGTTTCTGGCATTTTGCTTTCAGTTTGTGAGGTGATATTAGCATGGTTACTGGTGAAAACCCTGAGTTGAAAACTGTACATATCTGTAGTTTGTAAAGTAAAAAACCAAGGTCTTGATGCTCCTTGCCTGGCACGGGGAAGATCCCTTTTGGAAGGGCTGTAGTTCAAGGTGTGCACTGTGAGGCTAAATCTGTTGACACAGGGATGGCTCCCAATAGCTTCAGGTTGTCTTGTTGTCTTTCTATGTGACACAGCATTCTGCTGACATTTTTTCAGCTGTGAAAAAGAGAAGCTAGCATGAGTATTTGGTTTTTTAAGTTTTGTACAGTAGATATATGTTAGTTTTTAGATAAACTGCAGAACTCTTCATTGCTAGCAAAGAAACATCAAATAAATGCATGTTCAAGAACCCTCTGTAGCTAAGCACGATTTCTGTATATTTATAATTGCTGCAGTGTTTTGGAAGCTAAAAAATTACATATTAAAAAAGTCATATTGCCGGGAGGTGGTGGTGCATAACTTTAATCCCAGCACTTAGGAGGCAGAGGCAGGTGGATCTCTGTGAGTTCAAGGTCAGTCTGATCTACAAAAGCTAGTTCCAGGACAGGCTCCAAAAGCTACAGAGAAACCTTGTCTCAGAAAACCAAAAAAGCAAAACAAACAAACAAACAAAAACCCAAAAGAAAAATTAAAAAGTCACATCAACTAGGTGCTGGGGAGATGACTCAGTGGTTAAGAGCACATAATGTTCTTGCAAAGGACCAGAGTTCAATTCCCAGAACCCACATTAGACAGCTCACAGCTCCAGTTCCAGGTAATCTGATAGCCCTCGGACTCACCCCCTGATAAATAATAATTAAAATTTTTAAAAAAATAAAATTTTTTTAAAAAAGATCACATAAACTAAACTTTAGCATTGTAAACATTTTAAGTGTACAGTTCAGCAATTAAGTATATTCACACTTTGTGAAACAGACTTCTAGGGCATTTTCATCCAGGAAAACTAAAACTGTGTACCAATACATGACAATACCTCACGTCCTCTTAAAACCAGCTCCCACAAAGTACTACTTTACTATTTCTGAGAACCCGACTACTTTCTGAAGCTCCCATGCGCAGCACTGTAATACTTGCCTTTGGTGACTGCTTTATTTCACTTAGCACAGCATTGCAACATGTGACAGGAATCGTTTCTGAAGCCTGAGAACCCTCTGCTGCAAATGTGCACATACTGTTAACCTTTCATCATCCACACACATACAGCTGTTTTGAGTGATATTACTACAAGTGAAGTGTGCAAGCCTGCTTCGGATCTGATTTCTGGTGCTTTAAACTTCTGGGTGGAAGCAGAACTGCTAGATCATGGAGCCTTCTTTGGAAATGGTTATGAATGGACTAAAAGTCACTGAGCTCTGTATTTTAAATTGGTAGTCTATTTATAGGAAATCATATTTAAATAGAACTATTAAAATATAATTCGCTAAGAACAAATAAAATATATACTTACTTCAAGAACTCTAATAGAACTAGACAATTAATTAATGTAGTTAAATAACTTGCCAATCTTCTCATTCATGTAACTTAGACTCTTTTTCAATAGCCTGGCTAGAAGTGAAGGCCTTTGTTTATTTTTTTTTTTTTTGACATTGCCTAAGTGCTGCTTTTTAAATTAATTAATTTATTTTTAATTCATGTTCACTGGTGTTTTGCCTGCATGCATGCCTATGTGAAGGTATTGTATTTTCTGGAATTGAAGTTACAGACAATTGTGAGCAGTCATGTAGGTGCCAGGAATCGAACCTGGGACCTCTGGAAGAGCAATCAATGTTCTTAACTGCTGAGCCATCTCTCCAGTCTACTAAGTGCTGTTTTTAATCATTTAAAATTTTGAATCAAGAAATAGTGTGAAAAATAACAAATTTATAATAACCATGGCAATATTTATTTCCTTTGTTTTAGGAACATCATTCAGCACATTAAAAAAAAAAGATAGACCAATGAAGCAGAACTTTACTCCTTTGACCTCATGGATACCTTTCGAAATTTAATCATCAGCACTGGGGGTGGGGGCAGAGGCAGGAGGATCTCTGAGTTCAATGACAGCCTGGTCTGCAGAATGAGTAAGTTCCAGGACAGCCAGGGCTACAGAGAAATCTTGTCTTGGAAAAAAGAAAAAATATTTAATCATAATTATTTCACATAAAAGATATTAAAAAGTGAGAGTTTGACTTTTTGGCAGTAAAAATTATATAGTAGTAATAAATCAGGGCTGAAGAGAAGGCTCGGCAGCTACAAACACTAGCTCTTCTTTCAAAAGACCCAGATTCAATATTCCCTGCACTCCCTTGGCATGTAACAACATCTCTAACTCCAACCCTGGGGATCTGATGCCTTCGTCTGGTCTCCAAAGGCAACATACACACACGGCACACAGACATACATTCAGGTAAACACTTATATACATAAAATAAAAAAATAAAATCTCAAAAAAGTTAGAATAAAAATGAAATTAAAAAGTCCTATCTTCAATGTCATTGACTGAGAAAAAAGGCAATAACTTAAAAAGTAAAAGAAGCAGGAGAAAAAAAACATTTTAAAGTACACCAAATCCAAACTTGCCTCATCTCTAATTACTATATAAAAGCAGAAAAGCCAACAGCAATACAGACAACCATTAGTGCTCAGAAGCCCATTCCTCTTCTGCTTCATCCAGACATTTCAATACTTTCAAGACTCAGAAGCACGATTTTAGCAGGATGAGAGTAAGATAAGCTCAAAGACTTCTCATGAGTTTCTCTAATTAGACAAAGAAAGAACGCTAAATGGACATTTTAAAAAAAGCCAGCAAAAATAAGAAACACTACTTTCTAATCACTTTTAAAATAACTGGTTCCAGTGGTTCATACTAAATGCAAGACAAGTTTGGCATTCAACTTTCCATGCTGATCCCAAGGCAGATACCTAGCTATAGACAGTTACTATGTAGGACTGGTTTCCTTCAGCTAATAATACATCTTATACACTTTAACAGCTTTCCTGAATAATTTTTTGTGGTTGATTGTAAAGGAAGGTGGAAATACTACCAGTCATTGGCACTGATTTCAGACTCTTATTGTAGACTTTTTTTTGAAGTCCGTCTATGTACAGAAGCAAAATTACGAATAGCATTTCGAAGAGTCGCGTTCCCCTCAGAAATATCAGAAGAGTTGATGACTGAATGTAAGGCCCGGTTATATGCTGCAAATGAAGGATTGCACAACAATGAATAAAGTCAGATTCTATACAACTCTCCTACTTCTTTTTCCTATCAGTAACTTCTTTACCCAAAATGCCACTGAAAAAACGTTTATTGAGTACTTAGACTAGAGCAAGCCCTCTGTAAGCACAGGAAAGAGGATACAGAAAATGGCAGCAGAGTTAAAGTTGTGGGGCAGTACTTCCACACCACAGGCACATACAGATGGTCACAATAATAGGAAGACACATATGAACCAACAGCATTTGAGAAGCTGTGCCATTTGAAGTGGACTCTAGGGATTGACAGGAGGAAAGAAAAGAAGGCATTACAGGTAGAGAACAAAGTGGATGAGATGCAGAAGTGTATGAAGAAGTTTGGTGAGGCTGCAGTTTGGCCTGAGACCAGAGAGAAGTACATAAAATATATCATGCATTTCACTGTTAAGAGAAGGTTTAAAGTAAGGGAATGATAAGATTCATAGGATGGACACATTCATACCACAGAGATGAAGCACACTAACAATGTAAACACTGGCAACATTTTCAGTGTTATGTGAGGCTGACCGAGCTCCTATGTTCTATAAGTCCATTTAGTGATGAACAAGAAACATTAGCAACTACAAGAATGATTCTATTCTCTCAGCTTGGGACAGTTTGTTTGTTTGTTTGTTTGTTTTCCCAGACAGGGTTTGTCTATGTAACAATCCTGGAATTAAGCTTTGTAGACCAGGCTGACCTCAGACTCACGGAGATCCGCCTGCCTCTGCCTCCCAAGTGCTGGGATTAAAGGCGTGCGCCACCATCGCTTGGCTACTTGGGACTCTTGACAGAGGTCCTTATCTTTGTTTCACCAGCAGAACAAACAGACTAATGATGTGGGATTCCCCTCTGTATGCTGTGAAATATGTTTTATTGTCATTGGTTAATAAAGAAGGTGTTTCGGCCAGTGGCTTAGCAGAATAGGGCAAGGCAGGAATTCCAAGCAGACAGAAGAAGAAAGAAGGCAGAGTCAGTGAGACGCCATGTAGCCACACGACCTCATGATGATGCACAGATTAATAGAGATGGGTAAATTTAAGAAATAAGAGCTAGCAGGCAATATGCCTAAGTGATTGGTCAAACAGTATTGCAATTAATATAGTTTCAGTGTGATTATTTTCAGATCTGGGTGGCCAGAAAACAAATGAGCAGTCTCTGCCTAGAGTCTAATATGGATATATATTTGTAAGTCTTTATTAGACACCATTAAAATATGTGAATAACAGACTCTTAATTTAGCCATAAAGGACAAACTCTTAATAATGTTCAATTAAGGGAAGATCTGGAGCCCAAGTCCTCTTACATATAATGTAATGAGTTGGAAATGCTTCTCTATCATAAAAAGGACTAACCAGAAATGAAACTATAACAACTTTCATTGTCTCACATAGTTGTTTTATAAAATTCTCTTATATATAAACATATAGTAAGTTCTTAAATTCTAAATAACCATAATCACTACACACACACACACACAAAATTTTAATTACTATTAGGACTTAATAGTAATTCCTTAAGATACTTACCTCTGTAGTTTTTATAGAAAATGCAATTGTTGGCACAGGTATCAGGATGGGCATCCCAAAAATCAGGACCACAACAACATAATGGAGGTAAAGTGATATTATAAAGCTTCATTTTCTCCTGGACCTGGGCTCGCAAAGCTTCTACATATCTATAAAAGTACAGTGTAGTCAGGTCAATCAACGACTAGGAGAACAAGCATAAATCTTGATTTTATACCACTTTTCAGTGCTCTGTACCCCAAGTCTTCCTATGCAGCAGGAAATAGCACTAGGACAATACAGTGCTAGTCTCAAGATGTACTAGCCAATCCAACAGCGGTGGAGTATCCACCCTAAATGAGGAAAAGTTTGAGAAGACAAACCAAAGGTGTTTGTCTGTCTTTCTCTCTCTTTGGTTTTGAAACAGGGTTTCTGTATGCAGCCCTGGCTATCCTGGAACTTGCTCTGTACACCAGGCTGACCTCTAACTCAGAGATCCTCTTGTTTCTGCCTCCTGAGTGCTGGGATTAGAGGTGTGCACCACCACTGCCTAGCTACACCAAGTCTCTTAAGGAATATGAGAAAAACCTACTTTCTGTCTCTTCTAGAGCCAGAATTTCATGCAGAATGTTTAAATTCACCTTACATATTCTTTTTCTCTCTGGTGCTGTTTTTCTCTGGCTCCCTTCATTTCTTCAAGCTGTAACTGGGCTAAGACATCACTTATTTTCTGCTCTGGACAAGGCTCTCTACGACAGTGCACTCTCAGGAGCCTCTGCTCTTCAGCATAGCGCTGCTGCTCTTTCCGTCTCTTAATTCTGAAAATGAAACAAAACATACTTAGGAATTTTTAAAAGCGGTTATTTAAAATTAGCTTCCTTATACAAATAACTCAAGAAATTCCTTAAAAAGGGCAACACAAAATCAGTTTAGCAACTCAAGAACTTTATAGTTTATTTTTGTTTTTGAGACAGTTTCTCTGTATAGCTCTGGCTGTCCTGGAACTCACAGAGATCTGCCTGCCTCTGCCTCCCTAGTGCTAGGATTAAAGGTGTGCCCTCCCTCCTGCCACAAGAGCATTTTAGAAGTGTTTGTGCTGGCTGACCTGAGTTTATCTATGTATGTTGGGGTTTTGCTTGCATGTATGTCTGTGTAAGAATTGACACATCCTCTGGAACTGGAGTTACAGACAGCTGTGAACTGTCATGTGGGAGCTGAGAATTGAATTTGGGTCCTTTGGAAGAGTGGCCAGAGTGGCCAGTGTTCTTAACCACTGAGTCATTCTTCAGCCCCGAGTTTATCTTCTAATCTATATAAATTGCCTCTCAAAGGGAAACGAGAAATTGCCAGTAAGACACTTGCTGTTAGAATCCCAGCACAAGAACAGGCTCAGGTTAAAACTGGTAGGTGGGACATTTGCCACTACCAAAATGCTTTAACAGGTACCAGATTTGTCCTCACATCAAAGAAACTTAAATGGCAAATACAATAAAATGAAATAAACAACAGCTTTCAAGACACTAATCTCAACCACAAAACCACAGTCATCCCTAGAAGGTGACAAAGCAAAAAGCCATTCCAGTCACTGCCAACCTTCAAATACTGCTATCCTAGGCAATAGCACAGGGGCGGAGAATTTAAATGGAACCTAGTAGAGTAAAACACATTTGTAATAGCAATACATTTACCAACCAAAAGGCAAAAAATAAAACACAATGTTAAATATTGTCTTAGGATTTCTACTGTGATAAACACCAAACCAAAAGCAACTTGGGGGAGGAAAGGGTCTGTTTTGCATCTTATAACTCAGAAGTCATTGCAGTAACTCAAGGCAGGAATCTAGAGGCAGAGATGGGAGCAGAAGCCATTGAGGAAGGCTAATTATTGGCTTTCGTCTCCTGGCTTGCTCAGACTGCTCTCTTAAATAATTTAGGCCCACCTGTCCAAAGTTAGCACCACCTACAGTGAGGTGGGCCCTCCCACATCCATCATTAATCAAGAAAATATGCCAAAGACTTACCTACAGGCTAACCTACAGAGGCATTTTCTCAATTAGATTCCCTTTACTGAGATGTGTCTAAGTTTGTGTTACACACACACACACACACACACAAAAAAAAAAACCCAAACAGTACAGATATCCAACCTAAGATTACCAAGAGTGTAAATGAGAATGCCCCCACAGAGTCACAAATTTCAATGATTGATCACTAGGGAGTGGCACTATTTCAAAAGATTAGGAGGTATGGTCCTGTGGGAGAAAGTATTTAACTGAGTATGTGTTTCCAATTTTCAAAAAATCCTAAACCTGACATGGTGGTGCATACCTTTAAACCCAGCAGGTAGATCTCTGAATTAGAGGCCAACCTGGACTACAGAGTGAGTTCCAGGATAGCTAGGACTACTGAAAATCCCTGTCTCAAAAAAAAAAAAAAAAAACCCAGATAAAAGCCCACGTCAAGCCCACAGTCTCTCTCAGTCCCCCCCACTCTCTGTTTATGGACCAGGATGTAGACTCTCAGCTACTGCTCCAGTACCTGCCTGTATGCTGCCATGTTCCTCATCATGATGATAATGAACTAAACCTCTGAAACTGTAAAACCTCCAATGAAATGTTTTCTTTTATAAGAGTTGCCACGGTCATGGTATCTCTTCACAACAACAGAACAGTGACTAAGACACCAAGAGGCAGGAAAGAGGCAGGGAAGTAACTCGTTATGAGCAGAATAATCAAGATCATCTAACACTGTTGTGTTGGAATTACACAGAATGACATTCTCATGGTTATTACAGTCATATCTTACAGGTTCAAAAATAAAATCTGCTGGGCATGGTGGCACATATACACCTTGGCATTCAAGAGGCTGAAGCAGGAGGATCATCCCATATGTGAGGCCAGCCTAAGCTATACAATGAGTTTCCAGGTCAGTCTGTGTTACATAGTGAGACCCTGTATTGAACAACAAGAAGTAACATGAAAAAGACTTACATAAATCTTCTAGGGTTGAAAGATGCAATTTCTGAGATGCTAACTATGATTTTGTCATATATATAAATCTATAAGCATAAAGACAGAAACTCTAAGATGAATCACAGCAAAGGGGGTGCTAATAAAAAAGCAGATTAAATAGGCCAGATTAAAAATCTGAAAAAGAAATTCCATATCTCCAAAGATGATATACAAATGGACCAAGATGTGTGTGCAACAATAATATCACTCACTATCAAAGAAATGCAACCCAAAGTTACAATAAAGATAAAATCATCTAGCCAAGTATGGTGGTACACACCTTTAATCCTAGGTCTTGGGATGCAGAGGCAGGAGGATCTCTATTGAGGCCAGCCTGGTCTATATACTGACCAGCTGACTGAGTTCTAAGTCAGCTATGTAGAGAGACCTTGTTTCAACAACAACAACAAAAAAGATCATTTAATATCCACCAGGATTGCTACATTAAAAAACCCAAAGAGCTGGGTATGTACTGCAGTGGGTGGAGTGCTTGCTTAACATGCAGGAAGGCTTGGGTTCAACTTCCAGCATCACATAAAACTGGATGTGGCACATTCCTGTAATCCTAACATCTAGGGGGCAGAGATGAAAGGATCAGGAGTTCAAAGAGAGTCTGAGCTACATTGAGGTTCTGTCTCAAAAAAAGAAAGAAAAAGAAAATATGAGAACTATGCATGGTAGTGTGTATCTATAGCCCCAGTTAATGGAGAAGTAAAGAAATGAGGATCACAAGTTCAAGTCTAGCTTGGGCAAATAGCAAAACTTTGCCTGAAAACAAACAAACAAACAAACAAACAAAAAGAATATGAGAAATTAAAAACCTTGTTAATGGAATTCAAAATGGCATGCCACTATGGAAAACAATTTGAAGTCTTTTTAAAAGTAAAAGCATGGGCTGGAAAAATGCCTCAGAGGGTAAGAACACTGGTTTTTCTTCCAGACCTATGATTCAATCCTAGCACCAACATGGTGGCTAACAACTCCAGTCCCAGAGAACCTGACATTCTCTTCTGGCCTCCTTGCACATACTATGTACATGGTACCACACACATGCGCTCTCTCTCTCTTTCTCTCTCTCTCTCTCTCTCTCTCTCTCTCTCTCTCACACACACACACACACACACACACACTCACCCTCACTCTCTCTCTCACACACACACAATGTTCTCTCTCTCACACACAAACACCCATATACATTAAATGAATAAATAAAAACTTAAAAATAAAATGACTTTTTAAAAGGGTACAGTATACCTGAGCAGTTAAAAGGAAGCATATATGTACAAATATATCAAGTATAGATCATATATATATATATATATATATATATATATATAAATAAAATTATGTGCTATAATGAAGGAGACAGATCCAGAACCACTCCCCCACTTTTTTTCTTTTTTTTTTTGAGACAGTGTTTCATTATGCTAAGTCTGGCTGGCCTGGAACTCACAATATAGACCAGCCTGGCCTTGAACTCATACAGCTCCACCTGCCTCTGTCTCCACACACTTAGCCTATGTCCCAAACATTTTTAAACTCAAGAGTAGACATTAAAATGTATGTAAGATTTAACAGCTCAGCAATAGAGGGTTTGCTTAGCAAGCGTAAGACCTTGGGAGTAAATAAATCCACAGTACCACACACAAAAAATACGTTTTTGGGTCTGGAGGGATGATTCAACAGTTAAGAACACAGGCTACAAAACAAAACAAACAAACAAACGTAAGAAAGAAAATTGGCTGCTCTCAGCACGCACACAATGCTTCACAAACATCTTTAACTCCAGTACAAGGTATCTAACACCGTTTTCTGGCCTCCTCATGTACCAAATACACAAGTGGTGCACATACATATATGCAGGCAAAACACCTATACATATATTTTTAAAATGATCTGTATTCATAAATATTTTATATATATATCAAAAATATACATGAACCTGCACACATGGATAAGGTAATAATTGATAGAACTATAAGGAAACATTAAAAAATTGAAATATAGCTGGATGGTGGTGGCGCATGCCTTTAATCCCAGCACTCAGGAGGCAGAGGTAGGTGGATCTCTGTGAGTTCAAGGCCAGCCTGGTCTACAAGAGCTAGTTCCAGGACAGGTTCCAAAGCTACAGAGAAACCCTGTCTCAAAGAGCAAATAAACAAACATTGAAATGTATGTGGGGGGCCCAAGTCCTTCGGATCGAGCACCTCCTCCAAAAAAACCTGAAATATACACAAAAATGTCAATGTCTTTTCCTCAATTACTGGCACAGGAAGTAGACAGAATAATGGAAATGATACAGTAGACTCTATGAACCAACTTTATCTAACTGAATCTATAGAGTAAGAGTTTAAGCATAATAGTTTTCCAATTGCAAAGCTCTTGAACTTGAAAATTTTGTCAGCACAGACAATACCCTATGACCAGCAGTTCTCAACCTGTGGGTCTCACTCAACCCCTTTGGGAACTGAATGATCCTTTCACAGGGGTTACCTAAGACATTGGAAAACAACGATATTTACATTACAATTCATAGAAGTAGCAAAAATTACTGCTATGAAATAGCAATGAGAATAATTTTATGGTTGGGGGTCACCACAACATGAGGAATTGTAATAAAAGGCTGTGGCATTAGGAAGGCTGAGAACCACTGCCCTAGACTATAAAACCAATGTCAATAAATTCAAAAGGATTCAAGTAATGCACAGCATATTTTCTGACCATAATAGAATTAAATTAGAAATGAATAAAAATTCTTAGAAAATTCAACATATTTGGGAACTGTATGATATACTTCCAAATAACTTA